CCATGCTCACACCTCCCTGGCCACAGTCCAGCCCGGTCCCTGCCCACCTGAGGCTGCCAGAGGGAGCTCACTCGGTGCTCCCCAGGCAGGGATTCTCTGACGAGCAAACAGATGGAAGGAGCCCTCTCCCCATCTGATGCAAGCACAGATTTAATCAGCTCACACTTCCCTGTTCCACCTGGCACAGGCGCCGGGAAATGGATCTTGATTTGTGTCCTCCCCGCTCTCCCCACAGACTCTTGACATCTTTGTTTTTTTGCGACTTAACAGCAGCAGTCGCAGCCCAGCACTTTGCCACCTGTCGCAGGGACAGCCCAGTCCCTCCCTGGCTGTCACACACCGCTCTGCTTTTTGATTTTTGGGCAGGGTGGGGATGAAACAGGCTGGCAAAGATTGCTGCTCCATTGCCGGGGCTGTTGGCACTTTGTGTTGGGTGCCTGGTTCCTTTCCACGCTCCCTGCCTTTCTTCTCAGCTCTAAAAAATTATTTAGGCTCAGCTTTGTTCTAAATATTGCCAAAAGTGGGGCTGTTCCACCACTGGAGGTGTTGCTGTTACTTGCAAACTTCTTAATATTTAATGTCTTGCCTTCTTGAAACCCGCCTCTTGGAATTGGTTACTGACTGTAAATCTGTTTTCAGTAAGGAACAGAAGGGGAAAAAAAAGTCCCAAATGCCCTCAAGGAAAATATTAAAGCTTAAGAACATTATTTATTTCTTTCTGAGATGGGAAAATGAATGAAAACCTCAGTAAAAGTGTTTTTTCACGTGGGAAGAAAGACCCCCAAAAGACAGATCTGCCCAAAGTCTGCAAGGAGAGCAGCCTCTGTTTATGGGTGGGGAAACTGAGGCACAAACCCAAGTTGATGGAGGAGGAGAGAAGCCAAGTCTCACCTGCTGCACACAGTGGCCTTTGCACACAGTTTCTTCCTGCTAGAAAATAGATTAATTCATGTTACTTAAAAAAACTCACCATGTGAAGTGAGGAGGGGGGAAAGCCCCCCCCGGCCGTGCTGCCCGAGGTCTCTGTGCATCTCAGCAGAGCTGTCAGAGTTAAATCCAAACACAGCCAGTGGAGACAAGTAAACTGAGAAGTGAAGAGTATTTTATTAGTATTCTGCTATTGATTTCTTAATGGCTTTTCTTCCTGGAAACCAGGCAAATATTTCCTCTGCTCAGCAGGTGCTCGGGGCAGGGGCAGGCAGAGGAGCAGGGGGGCCATGGAGGTGTCCAAGGATGAATCCCAACCTGCCACTGGAGAGGAGATGCCCAGGCAGAAAGCACAGAAACTTGGGCAAGGGTGGATCCAGTTTCCACCCTCGTGCCTTCCTTCCCCCTCGAACACTTCTGTTATTTTAAGCTTTCAAAGAAAATCACTTTGCACTTGCAAATGATTCTGTAAACACAACCTAACGTGAGGAGAGGAATCCAAGAGAATGAGACAAATCTGGAAGGGAGCTCAGCCCTTTGCTTTGCCTTCCCCAGCCAGTGGGAAAAGGATGCATTAAATCCAGCACTTTTGGCTCCTGGTTGATGCTCTGAGCAGCCCCATTGCCTGGAAAGCTCAGTACCCTGTTTGCTCTGCTCTTGACTCCCAATTCTTCCCTCTCTCCACCTAATGTTTTTTTTCCAGGACTGTGTTATATGAATATCCTTGGCTTAATTTGCATTGCATTAGAGTAAAACGTTTTAAATTTCTTCACAGCAGTAGTAAATCTGACAGACTTTATGAAGCCATTATACCTGCAGGTATTTTATACTTTTAAAATACATTCTTGTCAAGCTATCTTAATTATATTATTATATGTACTTTTGAACTCGGATCCACTCTCGGGTGATATATTACACTTCTGACAGTGCAGCCCTAAAAAGCTACAATTTATATCAAAGCTTTGTGGCTGAACAAAGATGTATCTATTATGGATTCGGGGGAATTTATTAATTTACTGTTTTGGAACACTTATTCATTGACAAAACTCGCCAGCTTTACATTTCCAGCGGGCGATTGTTCCGTGCAGTGTTTCCGTGGCTTCGGGGGCTGCTGGGACTGTAACTGAGAACAGGGGAGAGCAGCTGGAGGTGCAGGATGTTGGAGTCAGAGCTTGGTTTTTATCTGGGGTCGAAGTTTACAGCATTATCTCATTCCTGTGCCGGTGTCCACATTATGATTCCCCCCGGGGTCAGCGCTGGAGCTCTTCAGAGGGACCTGCCCTGGCAAAAATGTACTTCAGCAAAGCTGTTCTGTGCTGGAGATCGATGGGGGCTGAGAACATGCAAGTGAAGTCCTTTGTTGCATCACAAACCCTGTTTGCAGGAGTGATTTTGCTCACAGAAGTCAGAGAATTCCAGAATGGTTGAGGCTGGAAGGGACCTTAAAGATTCTCTCATTCCACCCCCTGCCAAGGGCAGGGACACCTTCCACTAGCCCAGGTTGCTCCAAGCCCCGTCCAACCTGGCCTTGGACACTTCCAGGGATCCAGGGGCAGCCACAGCTTCTCTGGGCAACCTGGGCCAGGGCCCCACCACCCTCACTGCCAACAATTCCTTCCCAATATCCCATCTCTCCCTGCCCTCTGGCAGTGGGAAGCCATTCCCTGTGTCCTGTCCCTCCATCCCTTGTCCCAAGCTCTCTGTCCCTCTCCAGCTCTCCTGGAGCCCCTTTAGGCCCTGGAAGGGGCTCTGAGGTCTCTCTGGAGCCTTCTCTGCTCTAGGTGAACCCCTCCAGCTCTCCCAACCTGGCTCCAGAGCAGAGGGGCTCCAGCCTTTGGATCAGTTTAGTGGCTTTCTCTGGAATTTTTGTGACAAGTCCACGTCTTAGGAGTTGTCTTTGGGTGCCCCAGGGACTGGGAGGAGACACAGAGCTGCCCATGGAGTCACTCATCCCCTTGGCCACGGGCACAAACCGTGCTCTTCCCAGGCCTTCACTTTCTCACCCAAAAAAGGGGTTGGTGGTAAATCTTCATGGATCAGTTGATTTCCTGGTGGAGAGGGTTGCACGTGAATGGTTTTGCTGCAAAGGGAATGTGCTCATCCTAAATTCCATTGGCCAGTGAAGCAGCCTGTGGATGTGGGTGTGGGTGTGGATGTGGATGTGGATGTGGATGTGGATGTGGATGTGGATGTGGGTGTGGATGTGGATGTGGATGTGGGTGTGGAAGGGCTTCTTTTGTTGTAGAGGGGTTGGACTGAGATGATCTTCAAGGTCCCTTCCAACTCAAACCATTCTGTGGCTCTGTGGCTCTATCACAGTCATCAAATCACTGAGGTTGGAAAAACCCTCCAAGATCATCAAGTCCAACCTGTAACCAAACACCACTGTTTAAACCAGCCCAGAGCACCGAGTGCCACCTCCAGGCCTGCCTTGGACACCTCCAGGGGTGGGGACTCCATCACCTCCCTGGGCAGCCCCTTCCAATGCCTGACCACCCTTTCCAGGAAGAAATTCCTCCTCATGTCCAGCCTTCTGTTCACAAAGGGCTGGGCCAGTGACCTGGGGAGATGAAAGTTCTCTCTATCCTTCCTGTTCAAGCTCTCCCCTGACTCCAGGCTGGATCCCAGGTTTGGTGCTGGCAGCAGCCCCTCTTTGGGCTCCCCTGGGCTTTTTCCCACGTATTTAACATCCAGAAATATGCAGAGCAGCAGCAGTTCATCCACTCCTTAAGTCCCCATCAGCTTCCCTGGCTGTTGAGCTCCCATGGATGGGGGACTGGAGGAAGGTGAGGGGAACATCCAACCCCCCAGGAGGGGCTCGGCAGCCCCAGGAGATCCGGGGCTGGAGGGGCAGGGAGCCAGGGGGGTTTATTCCAGGCTCCTCCTCCTCCTCCAGCTCCTGTTTTCCTCCCCCCCTCCTTGGATTAAGAAGGCAAAGAGAACTGGAGGAGCAGCGTTAGACTTTCTGTTCTGAGCAGTCCCAAAATCCACCCAGAAAGTTTAATTGCTGCAAGTAAAACTTGTAACTAAAGCACTCGAGCAGGCAGTTTTCTCCTCTGCTTTCTGAGGATTCCAATGATATTTTCTTGTTCCCCATTGTTGTTTTAAAGGTTTGGAATAACACTGATTTTTTTTTTTTTTTTTTATTATTTTTTAATAGTTTTTTTCCCTCTTCCAACCCTGCACTTCCCTCCCAAAGCATGTTCCAGTCAGGTTCATCGAAATTGTCTTGGTGTTGTCAGAAAAATCAGCCTGACTGCTTCATCTTGTAAAACTTTCAAAGCCAAAAATTAACTGACATTTCCAAGTGAAATGTCATTTTGCTTCAAATAAATAAATAAATAAATCAAATGTTTTGACATTTTTAAAGCACTCTTCGCTCACAGAAGGGAGCGAAGTTCTTTAAATGAAAGCTGTGTCAAAACTGACTTCTCTCTTTCTCTCTTTTTTTTTCTTTCTTTTTTTTTTTTCCTTTCTCAGAGAAATTTTGACTTTTATGCATTTCTCTCCGTGAGAATACATCGAGTGGCTCACCCAGGGGGTCTGGCTGCCCCGAGAGTGACTGGTGGGGGGATCCTGTGGGGCCTGGAGTGACAGGATAAGGGGGAATAGCTTCCCACTGGCAGGGATAGATGGGATATTGGGTAGAAATTCCTCCCTGTGAGGGTAGGGAGGCCCTGGCACAGGTTGCCCAGAGCAGCTGTGGCTGCCCCTGGATCCCTGGAAGTGTCCAAGGTGAGGTTGGAGCAACCTGGAATAGTGGGAGGTGCCCCTGCCTGTGGCAGGAGGTGGACTAGAACATCTTTAAGATCCTTTCCAACCCAAATCATTCTGTAATTCTTGAGGCCTTTTCCCCTTGTCCTGTCCCTTGTTCCCTGGGAGCAGAGCCCAACCTGGCTCCACCTCCTGCCAGGGACTTGTAGAGAGCTTGAATATCCCCCAACCTGCTGATGTTTGGATCAGCTTTGGGAGCAGCAGCTCTTTCCCCTCACTTTGTTTTATCTTGTTGTGTGTCTGTTAAGATGAAGGTAAAGAACATCACTGAGCTCTCAGCTGGTCCTGACTCCAACCTGCCCAATTTTCACCCCAAGATCAGCACTGGGATGTGCAGGAGTGTGGGTTTGAGCAGGTTCACTCACCCCCTCCTGCTGAATTTCAGCCTTGGAGCTGCACAGGGTTGGCTTTTGGATTATTTTTCCATCGATTGATGTGCTCCCTGCCTTCAGTGGAAGTGACAGGCCTTGCTGAGGAAAGCACAGCCAGGGGGATTGATTCAGACACTCTACCTGGCTCCAGGGGCTCCAGGAGCTGCTGCAGCTTTGAGGAGCGTGGGCAGAGCTCTCCAACAGCACCAGCACCTCCAAGGTGGGATCCTCCTGGCTGGGAGAGCTGAGCCAGAGGAGCCTCAGCCAGAGGGGCTGAGCCAGAGCTGCTCCCTGTGCAGGGCATTGGTTGGGGTTGCTTGGGGCAGGGTGGGAGATTCCTGGTGGAAAAATGGAGAATAAACACATCTGCAGCAGTTTCTCTTGTTTTCATGGCAGGGAGTTGAGCTGATGTTGGTAAATTGCTGCAGTGAGTTGTAAATGATATAAGGAAGGGAAAGGGGGAGAAAAATCCCTTCTCAATGCAGGGAAATGTTCTGTATTGGGGGAAATTTATGGCAGATGTTTCCTGTAACAATAGGGCAGGGAAAGCTCTGGGATCAGAAACCTTCAAATAAAGGGGTGAAAAAAAATCCCCTTTTAATTTCCATCTTGTTTTCTTTTTAATATCTTATTTCCCTGCAAACCATCCTCCCCGAATACTCCTGGGGCCTCCCCAGCCTGGGTCAGACTGACTTTTTATACAAAACCAGTGGTTTTACCCCCCATTTTCCCTGCTCATGAGGTTTTTGGAGGGGATTTAAAGCCAAGTCCTTTCTCCATCTGGTGTTTTGGGATTTTTCTTTGTTTGTCTTGGGTTGATTTGGGCATTGGGGGGGTTTTATGTTGGGGGTTTCTATTTTGCAAGGCCGTGCAGTTCCCACAGCTGTGACTCCTTCCCTCCTGGCTTCCTGGGGTGGTCTGGAAGAGGGTGGGAGAAGTATCAACAGCCTTGGGCATGCCAAAAACTGCTGCAAAGCAGAGGGGAGTCATGAATGACCACGTTGGGAAAGGGTCCTGGTCCTGTGTTTAAATTACAATGGGGGAGATTCACCTTGAACATCTGGGAAATCCTGTTCCCAGCGAGGAGAGAGAAGCCCTGGGACAGCTCCCCTGGGGAGGATGGGAGCCCTCCATCCCTGGAGGAGTTCAGGGCAGCTCAGACACACATCAGCTGTTTTTACTGGACCCACAGTTCCTCCTGGTACTGGAGAAATGCAGGATAAGAGCAGTGGCTTGAGAGGACCCAGGGCTATTGTGGAACTCGTCTGTCCTGCTCAAAATCCAGAGTTAGGCAGCACTGGACTGGCTTTTCCAAGGATTAGGGACCATAAGAGGCCTCACCTGCAGGAAGAGGTGGCTGTGGCTGGTGGAGATGCCCTTTGGGAGGCTGGAGAAAGGGACCAGTTCACCAGGCAGGTGCTCAGGGGGGACCATCTGGCTCTGCAACTCCCTGACAGGAGGGGGGAGCCGGGGGGGTCGAGCTCTGCTCCCACAAAACAAGCAACAGGACAAGAGAAAACAGCCTCAAGCTGTGCCAGGGGAGGGTCAGGTTGGACATTAGGAGGAATTTCTTCCTCACAAGGGTTGTCAGGCACTGGAAGGGCCTGCCCAGGGAGGTTTGGAGTCCCCACCCCTGGAGGTGTCCAAGGAAGGACTGGAGGTGGCACTTGGTGCTCTGGGCTGGGGGACAAGGTGGGGATGAGTCATAGGATGGACCTGATGGTCTGGGAGGGCTTTTTCAACCTCAGTGATTCTGGGATTTCTTGCCTGAGTCCCAACTAGTGCCTGGGACAGTCAGTGGAGTCTGTTCTGGTGATGCAGAACCAGCCCTGAGCTGCTGGGGAGAGAGGACTGGGGCATCTCTGTGTCTCATGGGAGCTGCAGTTTGTCTATAAGGGTTTTATATCTCCAGGCACTTTTAAAGGACAGCAACAATCCTGTCTCCTGTCCTCTGGAGTTGGTGCCTTCCTGCAGTCTGGGGTGTTCCTGCCACAGGTGAAATACTGTCCCTGTGTGAGCTGTGCCTGCCGTGAGTGTCAGCACTGGGGGTTTTTCTTCCTCTGGTGACTCAACTGTGGCCAAAAATGACCCTCTTGAGGTGAGCTTAGGACCATCCAAGCTGTGCAGTGAACTGCAGCCCCACATCTAGGTGGGTCGTGTTGCAAACTGCTAATTTTGAGTGCTGGCATT